ACCGTCATCACCTGCAATTCCTCGAACGCTTTCATCAGCGCTGCCTCCGTACAATTCTAAACATCCATTGGACTGACTGTGTGTCAAATGTTACTGTCCTCGAACAGGCAGGGGTCACCAGCATCGAGGCCATATTGCTGAAATTGCAGCTGCCCTGGGCAGGGCACGTCTCTAGGATGAAGGGTCACCCCCTCCCTGAGATCGTGTTTTACGGTGAACTTGCCACCTGTAGCCGCAAGAGAAGTGCCCCAAAGAAGAGATATAAGGACTCCCTGAAACAATACCTTAGCCTTGGCCATATTGACTGCCATCAGTGGTCCACCTTGGCTTCCAATTGAGAGACTTGGAGACACACCATACTGTTGTCTCCTTTGAGAACTCACGCAGAACTAGTCTCAAGGAGAAAAGACAACCTAGAAAGAATGGCGCTCTGCCTATACCACCCAAGGAGACCTTTCGCTGTGCTTTTTGCAGCTGGATTTGCCTATCTCACATTGGCCTTTTTAGTCATCAGCATGCATGTAGTAAGCGTGGGTAAAGCCCTTCTCAAATCTTTGTTCGCGAAGTCAAGCCATGATGATGATATTCAATGGCATTTTATTTCATTACTCATACATGGCATCTGAGCATCATTTCTGACTTGTCACACGCTCACCTTATAACTGTATTTTTAAAGCCTTTAATTTGCATAGCAGTACAGCTCAGGGTCTACGACAGTCACATATGTAAATACCACCTATACAGCCACATCAAGTGACGAAATTTTGGAATAGAAATTCCAATCATGGTAGAAACACAGTGTGTACTGTAAGTTTGAATTAGCTAAGATTTCATGGGATAAAAATAATTCAATACTTGGAAAAGTGCAGGCTATGCTTTTTGAGGTTAGGGAGGCAAAGGGCAGGGGAACATGAGATCCAGCTGAGCTCACAGGGCAGATCCTAAGAGAAACACAGTGTCATGATTTCTTCAAACACACAGGCAGTGTTTCTACTGCTGGCCCTGGATAAGGCTTCCTACTCCTGTAGAAACGAAGGCTGACTCACCGACTAAGGCACTACCCCGAGTCAGGAATACTTCCGTCTTATGTCCTACATCTCATACACCTCTTGGCCAACCTTGATGGGGGGGATTTATCCTCATTCCAGCCATAAAATGGGAGCAGTGCCTCTTCTCTGCCCCACAAGGTACTGGGAAGATAAATATGTGAATATTTAGGTACTACTGTAATGATAACTAAATAAGCCACTGGCATAAGCTTATTGGGTACTGTATTACCATGGAGAGGAATTCTCCTGCTTGCTTGTAATGGGAAATTCCTAAAATCTTGCCTTAAAAGGAATAGACAACAAACAGCATGAATCCCTAAGGAGATGAAAGGGATATCATACTTTACAGTCCACAGAGGCATTTTACTTCCAAAGGTGGCATTTTGAACATATTCCCAGTCATTTTCTCTATAAACCTGGAAGCATTTTACTTTAGATAAAATATACAAATATAATATTTCTACTTTTTTTATTAATAATAATAGACCATGTTCTTTTTCATTTCCTCATCCCAACCTGAGTAGAAAACTCTCATCTGTTTTAGCATGTTTCATTGCTTTGATTTTACTTAAGAGAAAAATATTGATAAAAAGCCACACACACAAATTTTCCTGCAATTTATATTTCCACCAGGTTAATTTAAGCCCCTGATTCAGCAAAGGAACTAATCATGTGCACAACTCAATTTATAATACTCTCAAAATTAAGTGAGATACATGTTTAATTACTTTTCAACTCAGTGCTTTAGAGACTTGAAAAGTTTTTATGATGTGAGATTCTGTAATGCTACCATAGAAACTATTTGGCAATTTATTTTTCTTTAAGCTTTTCCATTTGCCAAAGATCAAAGAGGTAGAGTGTCAAATATTCTGTTGTCTGCTATCAGCAATGGATGATAGAATTTACTTTTCTTTGTTTCTGCCTATGCAGAACTGCCTATGCCTATGTAGATGCCAGTCAAAGATGTTCTTTGCTCTGATATTTCATTATATTTAGATTTAGATTTATATTGTAACAATCCTTTCAAATAGGATATCCAGAAGTTAGCACAGTCCTTATGGCTACCATTTTTAAAGGCAGATTACATTAAAGGATGTGGTGTGGTTCAGAGTTTAGCCAAACAAATAAAACAGCAAACATTGGCTGGTGCCAATCCAGGGAAGTAACACTACCTATACCTGTAGTAAATAGAGCACATTGGTCATTGCACCCCATATTAGTGAGTTACGCTTTCTGACTTTTTATTAGATTACATTAAATGTGTGCATTTCACTTTTCATTATAATATGAGACTAAGCTGCTAAAAATTGCAGGATGGATAAAGAATTGGTTTGTTGAGATTGGCAGTGGTAAGGAACTGGAAGTTTACTTTTGGGTTTTGTTTTTGTTTTTTAAGAGGCATGCACAAATAACCTGACTAAAATTACACCATGCACTTTACACCTAATGTTTCCTTTTACAGGTACCTCTCCCAGAAATAGCTAGTTTTGGCTGGCACTAGCAAATGTTTGAATGTATTGGGTAGAATAAGGAAAAATTTCAAGACAAAAATTCAGCAGACTTAACACAGCTTGGATTTCATCATAAACTTGAAATTCTGTCCAAGTTCATGGTGTAGAAACACACCAGAGAGAAACACACAGGGATACATAATTCTGTCCTGAACGCCTGGCAAAATTTCTGTCTGGACCAGTAATATCTCCTTATAATCTTGGCATTTGACAACCATGACAAACTCAATATTGTGGGGTTTTTTTGGTTTTTGTTTTGTTTTTTTTGTTTTTGTTTAGTTTTATTCTTTTGTGAAGGAATATAAAAATGCTCTTACCTCAGTGTTGCTTAAAGTTTTGGCTATGTTTCAAGCATCTCAAAACATTGAGAATAATTGCAACATTGTGTGCTGCCAGTATTTGAAGTACAAAACTCTCTGTTTTTCTCACACAGTATTTGAAAAAACATTTTGCACCTCAATAGATAGTTGTGGGTTTGGATCATAAAGCACTAAGGGTTTTGATCTGTTCTCATTCCTACCCCTTGTGTCTCATTTTTTCTCATGGCTTTGAACAAAATATTAATGTGACTCATCTGTCACAAGTAATTTTCATATCCTCTATCCTCTATTTTGGTGTGTGACTACAGGGAAGCTGCAGCTATGTAAAATTATTTGTGTATGTTCTCTCTAATCCCATGAAGTCAGTAACTGCAGCACGGATGGTACAAACAGGAGGGAGGAATGAGCTGTTGTTTGGCTGAAATGCCTAATCCCTCTCTCCTCAGGCTCAGGCAAAGTAGCTCACTATCCCCTTCAGTGTGGCAGCTCTCCATTTTGCTAACTATTCAAAGCTACTTCTCTGACTTTGTAACTTTTCCTTCATCCACACAAGCAGCTGAGCCAAAGCCCCTAAACACCTGCAAGCTGCAGAGAAGTTTGTATCCAAAGCTGAACTCTATAGCTCAGACCCGTCTCTGGAAGTGCCAAATGGGTGTAGATGTGTTCTGTACTACTGACTCATTGTTTGAAGGAGAAGTCCTGTTTGGCAGGATGAACAATAAATAGCTACTCTTCATAAAAATAGGAAGCAAATGGCAGTGTGGTTGTGCATAATGCTCTGGCAGTTTCTGTTCTCCAGGCTTCAGAATCCTCTCAGACAGATGCCAAATGCACATTTTTTTGTACAGCTCAGGTGCACTGGATGAAACCAACTGCAAAAAATCGACTGCATTGTCTCCTATTGGTTCCCCAGGTGGCAGTGCATCTTCTAAACTGCACCACAAACTGAACAGGGTCCTCTTGTGAGACATGTTAGGAATCAAGGGAAAATTACCATGGATTATCTACCAAAACAAGGGCATATTGAGGGCCAGGTCTGGTATTAGCAGAGAACTGAGTTGGCAATCATTACAGAGATTTTTTAAAATACGTTTGACACCAGAAGCCAGAAAGCTTTGTCATCCCTAACCTAATCTGTCATCTAAACCAAAGGGCCTGGAAAGCAGTTAATTTCTGCAAAGGCTCTGGGCTTTGTGAGGAAGGCACCCACCTGGTTGCCACCATGCAACAGCTTCTCCCTAGCTCTTACCTAGCAAAGCATTCAAGTGTGTGCCCACAATCCAGAAGGAGCCCAGGTCTCCAGAAGTCACCCTCCAGGACTTTATTACACACAACCCTAAATATCTCAATGACAGCTGAGCCCACCAAATCACAGAGACTCTTCCCAGTCCCGTCAGTGGGATTTGGGTCAGGTGAAGTATGTATGACTTGGTAGCAGCTCCCTGAGAGTGATTAGCCTATAAAATAGATATAGGACATTAACAATGCCTGTGTCTTCTTTTGTTAGCACCCTCACATTACAAATGCAGTCATACTTAGGTCTTTGTATGGCGATTCCAAGCACATTTTCTCAATACAAGCTTCTTGGAAACATTAGAGTTTATGCTGCATATTGCATGAAGGGTTTCTACGTACATTTTCATGGGGGCAAAACACGTGGAGAAAGATGAAATTAGGTAAAGGGTTTTCAGCTGTCCTTCAAACTGAAAATGTTATACCTAGTAATCTGGAAAAGCTATGCAGTGTCTCTGCAGAAGGGTGGGAACAAGGCTCAAGGCACTCTTATTGAAATGTAAACCCATATTTTGATTTACAGCATAATTATTACAGGATTGCCAAGAAGAACACCAAACATCCAGATTTTTATTCCATATTCAAACTGCTACGTAAGTTTTTACAAGCATTGAGTAAATAAACAGACTACTCAAAGTGAATGAGCTGCCAGGTTTTCATGCTTCTGAACAGTAGACCTTGAATACAAACCCTGAATATGGAGTTAAAAGACTATGTTAGGCCCCAGTGTTTGATGTTCTTGGTCAATATTCCTTAATATTTCTGAAGAAACAAAAAAAAAGGATAGGGTGCTCATACATTTCTTATAAGCTTTCTTTTCCCCCTAGGGACCAACATAAAATCAACAAAGTAACAACGGGCCTAACACAATCAGGAAATCTAGGTCTCTTAAAGTGAAAAGCAAACAACCTGTCCTTCTGCCCTTTCCTGAAATCTAAATGTAAGTATATTCAGCTTTGAAATACTAAGTAAATTCTACATAATGCCAAAAAACAAAGCACAATGGCTTAAAAACTGAAGTTGTCTTAAAGCTGCCACATTCACAGGATGTGATATGCTATTCAAGTGTTCCTTATATAACAAAGCTTTTGAATTTTGAGTAGAAAAATATATGGTACATAAATTTTGGTGATAATCCTCAGCAGCATTTTTTTTTCCTAGGTAATTAAAGAAATCTACATTTTCAGTCATTCATTCACACATTGTTTAATAGGAGAGAACATGTAATTTTGGTGTGTCATGCTTGTTTAAAGAATCTTATTCTAACTTTATTTTTATGGTCAGGAAAGAGTGAGGACTGGTTTCACAAAAAAAAAGAAATGTCAAAAAGCAGTAGACCCTGGGAGTAGAGTGGACCATGCTATTGGTGTGCTTTTGACATCTGAAATGCGTTTGTACACGTGTCTGCTTCCGTATGTCTGCACTTGTAAAAGTAAACAGCGGTAACATTAATTGGAAAATCCATGTTTAATACAATGTTTAGTTTAGCCAATAATGGGAAGAATATTTAAACATCATTCTCAGCCTTAATGGAAAAGTTTCTGACAACGAGACATTAGCTCATAGTATCCACAGTCATCTATGCTTATGAGTATTGTTTGTTATCAAGTGTGACTTTTGGAAACAAAAATGCATTATTGCTTAACAAGCTGCACTGCAGTAGTGTCCTGCACTCTGTTTTGCTTTCTAGATAATTAAAAGAATCCACATGTTAAGAATCAATCAGAAAAATTCCTCAGACTTTCTGAACATTTTTTATTTTGTTTCTCTCTTGTGGAGAAATTCTACGCAATTTGTCTGACACTAAACTATTAAAATCACAGAAACATGACTCTAGAAACACATAGCTCTAGACTGTCAGCCCTGACAGAGGTCCCACTCTGTGAACACACTGAACTTCTCCTGGCAGCGAGGTGGACTGGTGCAGGACCAGGATATTGGGATCTCTGGCAGAGTCCACTGGACACTGGAGCTGTCCCTGGTAACTGTTTCACCCAGAATTGGCTGCTGTGACCCACCCTACATTGGGTGCTATAAAGTCTAACTAGGAAAAAAATTAAATAAATTTTAAAAAGAAATTGTATAGCCCAAGGCTCTAGCCCACAAAATATTAATAAAGAAGAAAACACTTCCCAGCTAGTATTTACACTCTCCCAGAGCATCCATAAGAAAGTTTTTGAACCCAGTCCGTCCAGCAGTTAAACACTCATCTGTGAATGGCAGTGGGCTTTGATAACCCAGCTGCAATGTTTCTGTAGCAGTTGATGAAAAGAACCTTTTGATAAAGACTTTCTGGTGTCCTGTAATAATACAGATCATGTTAAAGAAAGTATCACATGTTCAGTATTTTAGAGTCCTTTACCTACAGGAGGTGAAACAGTAATATAGGCAATTAAATATACTTATTAGACAGAAAAAAGCAACAGTTAAGCTAAGCATTGCAAATTAGCATCAGCCACTTTTCATGCGTGACAGAATTGCTTTGAGGAAAACAAACAGTGTCTTCAACTATTCATGGATATCAAGGAACAGGGAGTTAACAGGGGAAGAGATGGTTAAAAGTTCTGGAAAATGTTGTTATTTCCTTTTTTTTTAAATCTATTCCAATGAATAGAGAAGAATGTCATCAAAACTTTCAGCTCTGGATAGAAATATCCTTCAAATTACAAGGAAACAAATCTGTAGCAAGAATACAGAAATCTGTATTCTGTATCTATAGCATTCAGTATCTGTATCAAGAATACAATGCTACTGAGTGTAGCATTCCATATCTGTAGCAAGAATACAGAAAAGTTTCAGACTTGAGCATCAACTGGGAGATAGACTTGAAAGGCATTTGGGTCCAATAGAAATCCTGAGCTGCTACCAAAATCAACAGTCTAATTGTATCATCTGAACCTGGGGCTTAACTTTTGGGTTTCCTGTAGCAAAATCTTGCCACAAACAGCTCTGCTGTTTTTTCTCTAATAAAATAAAACACAGGAAAACTAAGATAAATACAAGAGACAATGAAGATGAGTATGTAGCTCCCAACATAAGGTTAGATAAAACTCATGAAGATACTAAATAATACTTGTCAGTTCTAAATAGCTGATATGACAATTCTTTAAAAATAAACAATCAAACATCTGAAAGTAATTTCTAGGGATTTATTTTATTTAAGCAATAAGGTATTTTAAAAATGTACTCAGAATGTCTAGCTTGGTTCAGATTGCTTTGGTTTTCTACACAGTGTCATGGTAGTAACTACCCACCCAAATGTGGTATTTCAATAATTCTTTTAAATGAAAAAAAAAAACAAAAAACAACCAACAACTGAAACGAAGAAAAAGGAAGCAGAACTATTCAGAAAGGTTACCAGAACACACAGTTTAACTTCAGGCACTTTCTAATCTGATCAGGGAGCAGAATGACAAAAAAATGTGCTGAATTCAGAGGCATTGAGTCAGGTGATAAAGTTATACAACTTTATGTGGGTTTACTGAGGTCATATCACAAAATCAAAAGAAAACCTAAGAGCCTGAAAGTAATGTGGTTGGTTTATGAAGTCCAATATTCCTTCTGTCTGTCCTTTTTCCTGTTGAACTGCCTTTTATGCCTCTCAGTGTATAAACTTGTTGAACACAGTCATCTACTCTGTCCTCAGTTTCCTCTTCATTTTCTCTTACTTTATGTTCCTCCATTCAATCCCTGCTTATCTGATAATAAGGATTATTTTACTGGTCTGCCTTTTCCCTGTCTGATTTGGGGAGCTGAAAGTACTAGATGATTTCCAGTGAAACTTAAACCCCAAATTACTCTTGTGTTTATGGAAATGTTACCTTACATTTCCAGGACTGCTGATTTTAAACAGGAGTCAGTTACTGGACTCCTTGAGTCACTCGTGAAAACCTAGCTTCAGATTCCTCTCAGCAGCTCTGTATGGGAGGAAATTAAGGGGGAATTACAAAAGAAAAATCCTTTCCAAACATAGCAGTGTTATTCAATAACTTAGAAATTTACTTCTCTTTTCCTGTTGGTGAATGTGGTTTCTTTAACTAATCCAAGCAATATTGTGAATAAACCCAATGGTTGCTTTTGTCTGTGTTTTGAAGAAGAGGGGCTTGTTTAGGGCTTTAGTAGTGATAACTGACACATAAAGCTCTAGTACAGAAGGACACAGAAAAAAAACAAGAACTTGCCTTCACAAATCATTAGAATTGGGGATGTTCCATAGATACCTCCTACTTGCTGCTATTAACCATGATGACGAGTTTATGATCCCAGCCTGTGCAAAGCTGTCCTGGGTTCAGAAGTAGCAGTCATTTTCCTTTGTGGAAAAACATGACTGCTACTGAAGAGACCTGAAGGGCCTGATGCTCATTAAATTCTCTGCTTCTCTAGTCCCCTGTTCCCCAGACAACCTCACATGTGCACACATGTACACAATTATTTCTGGTCTTTCCATCAAGTTCATCAATAGCACTGTGGTGATACACAGTGACTGCCCCTTTGCAAAGTGGGGAGAAACAGCTAACTCAGGGTTGCTCATGGTGAAAAGAGACTTCAAGCCAGTAGGCAACAGCCTTTTATACTGGTAACAGGAAGTTCATGGAAGACTAGAGCAGTATACCTGTCTGATTTGGGAAGCAGTTGTACCAGACAGTAGGTCTTCTTATGGGTCTTGCATTAAGCACAAATCCTCCTGTTTATGTGCTGAAGCATCTGGTTTATTAACAGCTAGCTCATTAACAGCAACATATAGAGCATATAGCTGCAGTCATCACTTTGCAAATGTTTTCCACACATTTTCCATACTTTCCACGTTCAGGGAAAAGTAGCATTAAGCGAACAGTCTTCTTTCAAAAGCCTTATTGACACAATTTGTCATATAAAGAGTCCTTGTGAATTCACTGAGTTTCTTTAGGAAACACCAATATATTTTCTATGCAGGAGTCTCTATGGAAATGTCCCCTTTTAAGTCAGTTTTCTAGACCCTAAAGAGTTCAAACACAGAACTCACTAATAACTCTGTCTTGTAAAATTCAGGGAATGCTACCACAGAATTAAATTAGATTTGAAATACAGTCAGAAGAATTTCCCAGATAATAATGATAGTTCAGCTAAAATATTTGCTATATAATTCAAGCTTCTGTTTAGTTTCAAAGGAGTTCAGTGTAATCGTTGGGTTTATTTAAGTAACAGGTTATCATTTTTCAATTGCAAATGTTATGGAAATAAATTCAGAACATTACATTTCATACTAGTCTTGTACAGAATCACAGAACAGTTGAGGTTGGAAGGCATCTCTGGAGGTTATCTTATTCAATACCCGTGTTCAAGCAGGGACATCTGTACTGGTTGGCCAGGACCAAGTCCAAACGGATGGAGATTCCACAACCTCCCTGGGCAACCCATATCACTGCTCAGTCACCCTCACTTTTCTACTCACTCTACACTCACAATTTCTACTTTATACATGCAAAATTCCCCCGTACTTGTTCACTGCAACAGTCTAGTTCATGATTTACAAGGGGTGAATGGAGCCCAATGCTGAAATCAGCATTTTAGTTGAGAAGCTAATGCCATAGTTTACTGAATGCGTTTTTGGACCATTTACTCTGTAAGTCACCTGTGTATTCCTTATGTAAATGGGAGATGGCATAAATTGGGTTAGCTGTGCAGCAGCATGGCATCAGCATACAACATGGGAATAGGAGCCATGCCAGCTGATGGCAAAGCCAAGTCTTTCCATAGAATACTTGCTTTGGGTGCGAAAAATGTATTTCATACTAATTTGCTTGCATTACAGCTATATTTAAGCAATCCACAACATGGAGACTTAGTATTTTGATCCTGAAAAAGTATTTTGAACACCTGAAATGTGCTCAGGTTTCCCTTCTTATGCAGTGTTTGTGAAGCTGTCTCTCGATAGATGATAAAGTGGAAAGGCAAAGAAAA